TTGGAAGTGAGGAGATAAAGCTGCCCTGGACCGGGAAGAAAGGCATGGATCAGACTTCTGGTCCCTGCACTTTATGCATGGCTAATTGTCACTTTGCCACTTTAATAAAACAGATGGTCTCTCTTAGAAGCTTAATGCAATTAGTGTAATACTTCAAAGGGCTGCTGCCCCAGCCACCATGCTGGAGATTGAGGAGTGTGTGATTGGAGGGTTATTAACCTTCTGTGATACTGCTTGGGGTTTTTTTCCTACTTAAGCTATAGAAAATCAAATACAGAAATGTCCCCTAAATCTTTCTCCAAAGTATTTTTGGATGCATATTTAGGTTGCTAAATCAGCCTCTCAAATCTAAAATGTTACACAAAAGAGCTCTGCCTGAGAAAAATCCTGTGAGGAATGATGGTGTAATTGAAGGCTGAGCTGCCAGTCACAGTTTTGGCCAGAGGATGTGTTACCTCCTCTGGGTTATGAGCCATCCTGACCCTCCCTAATGGCCATGTGGCTGCTTCTATTTCAGTCTTCCCTTGGTTTCTGCCTCCTGTAGCTTGACTCTTCCTTCACCCTAATTAAAGACTTTGAAGACTTGAAAATACCCAGCTGCAAAAGATTGCAATGGGAAGTATGAGGTGGAGAGAGGTAATGGAGTTGGTACAGCTCCATTTATATGAATCTGGGATAATGCATTGCTAAAAGTTGAGTGTAGTAATTAGAATACATTTTTGAGTTGTGCTTGTTCTACGGTCATGTTTTGCATTTAAATTCCTACTAAATGTAAATTTAGGAGTATTAATAGTTGCCTGATTAAAAAGTCTGCTCTGTTAACACATTTTAATTATAAAAAAATCTTGTAGTGCTGTGTAATTTTTTTGCCATCATATGTAGAAATAGATATCTTTGCCTTGATACACCTCAAATATATTTAATAATGATAAAGCACCCTGAAACACTTTCTGGAGTGTGAACTAAAGAAGGGAAATCATTGCTTCTTCTTAGTATTGTATAAAGTACATTGGAGTTCTAGGTCAGTGCTTATATCTTGATGTTTTTAACCCTGGTTTGATAGAGCAGACATTGTAAGCTCCTGGATATTGAGATTCTGTTCCTATTAATTGTTTGATGACAAACAAAGACAGGGTGGGAGTCATATTGGTATTTCCATCTTTATGTTATTCATTCACTGTTGTACATTACTGATTCCTTCTCAGCTTTTCCTGGTCTCCAAGTCTTCTCTGGTTTGAAAAGCTGCTTCTCACTTTGCAGTCACTGGTATCAACACCTGCAACTCTTTAAAGCTGTGTTTCTCTCATAATTGCCAAGCTCACAATCTGCAACCAACCTGGTAAGAAAATGTCAAGAGACAAGCACTCACCTGCAGTGTTCCCTGCTAGGGACACTTACCACCCTAAGTAAATCCTTAGTAAGTCAAGATCTACCTCAAATATTATTGGCATTTTTTGTGCTGAGATGATGTAACTACATTGAGTGAATCCCCAGAGCTGATGCTTTCAGTTGAGAATGACTCTGCCATGTGTTTATTCTGAACACAAGATTGACCAGGGCATTTCAGACTGCTGAGACCTGGGTGGAAGTAGAACACTATCCCCAGAGCCATCTGCTGTATTTGAGGCTATTTTGAGGTCAGTATCTTTATTCGGGAGGATGCCCAATGCTCTGCTTCAGAGTTTGTTTGTCCCTGATGTGTCTGAACACACTTAGGATCTCCTGGTCAGCCATGCCAAGATAAATTTCCTCTAAACCTTCTTTTACTCCTTCACAAGATTGACTGTGGCACCCCTGAGTCCTTGTCCAGTTTGTAGCTGAGCCAGGTTTGGTGCCAAGACTTTTTCACTTCTTGGTGCAGAGCTTGAGGAGATTGCATCTAACTTTGTCTTCCCACTTCCCTTGGGACAAACTGCTCCATGTTGTGTGGCTTTCCATGTGAATGCCCTGCAGCAGATGCAGTGTTTGCCACCTCTGTCAGTGATCTGGCTTCCTGAGTTTCTGTTTTCTCAGTCATGAAATTTGCAAACTTTGTAAACAGCATTTTTAGATTTTCTTAAATAGTTTAAAGTAATTGAAGAACATTTTAAGTAATGTACCTTTAAAGCCATTGCTTTATCAACCAAGTTTGTAATATTTTCAAATTAAAAAAGAAAATCAAACAGGTAAATTTTTATCTGTTTTATCATACAGATTGTTTTCTCTATTTTGTGAAATTTTAAGACTGTAGAATGACTACATAATGCTTTATTTGTGTATCCTTGGAGTGGAAAACATGGGCAGACAGCTACCGGTCTTGTTTTAACTTTGACCAGTTCCTTCAGTATTAGTTCTCAGTATTTTCTCAGCCATTTGCTTTTTGATTACAACCCTCCTGGATTTCAAATTAGATGTATTTTTTTGTGATGAAGTGTTATGACACACACTTCTAGATGCTTAATTTCTGTCAGACTTTATAGGAGGCTCGTATGGAGTTTGTTTATTTAGGTTGACTTAAAAGAGCTCTGTCATCACTGCCCTGTCATTGTCGTTTTCCTTTTCTTGGCAGTCATCAGCTGTGCTGTGAGGAAACCGCTGATAGAGATTGAGATGATAAATTGCTCCAGCTTATGACATTAGCATTGCACTTTATAGTTTTTTCCAATATTTTTGCTGGTGCTTCTCTCAGGTGGTTCTAAAAAGATGGTATTTGTGAACTTTGTGCTTCTATTTTTACCCCACAGGCCTGTACATGCTCCTTAACTCACTAGCAGCAGTAACACAGTGCTGTTGCCATCCAAAAAGGATCCTAATGTAAAGATACTGATTTCAGCCTCTTTTTGTGAAAATGGAAACTGGTTCTTTTTGTCAGGCTTGAAAATATATCTTCTAACATCTTTTTACTGTCTTTCCCTGTTGATTTTCTTAACCCTTTGAGGGATTTTGTTATGTAGAAATTTTGGAGATGATCCCAGGTACTTTATATTTTCCAGTGTTATGAAAAATTCATCCAGCTATTCCTTATGTAGAGGTATCATGCAGTTCCCAGTAGTCTACCCAGAAAACATCGAGTTGCTCTTCTCTTAGGCAAACTTTCTGTCACCAAAGGTCTTGCAGCAATTAGGACCAGGGGTGCCAGTCCCATTTCTGTTGCTTTTCTCATTTTTATTTTGGATATTTACATAAATTATCTTGTTTCTTCATGCTCTTTGTGTCATCTGAATTGCAGCCTTAATGCTCCCAGGTTCTATTATTTCATTCCACCTTGTGAATTTTGCAAGTTTCTGAAGACAATTGTGAGCAAAGATTTAAAAAGCGTAACAATGTATTGTGCAATTTCCACTTCTAAATATTATTTATTTGAAGCCTCACTCAAGGCAATTGACTGCTTCTTTGTGCCCAGTGTATGAACAGTTCCTGTGCTTCAGAGATCCTAATTCTGATATGACATTCCCTCTTGCCAAATGTGTTACAGTTTATTCTTCGTATTGAAATATTGATGTCCCAGAGCTGAAATGAAACCTTTGCTTACTCAAGTGTTTCAGGACCATGCTTGTTTGATTGTTGCATTACCTGCACAGCTTTACTTTTGCAAGCATTGTACTAATCTTCCTGAGACTTACTTCACACTGTGATTTTAAGTCCACTAAATTCTTAACTTTGGCTTCCTGATAACTCTCATTAAAACTTGCTGGTTTTACCTCTATGTTCACTTCTTTGTACTGCTTTTTTTTTGGCTTACAGTCTTCTAGGTAAGCTGAGTTTTCTGCCAAAAGTCTGTCCAGAGGAGGATGCATCAGACAGGAACAGGTCCGTGTGCACACAAGATCCTGATTTTCTTTCCAGCACAGCTCTTCCAGTGACATTAGGTAGTGGTGGAAGTAACAATTCATGCATCTGGTTTCAGACAGTTGGGGAAGTTTAAAAACACCGGAAAAGGAAAGCTAACGGTAGCATCTGGCAGGATAAAATGCTGGATGGCTCCTTTGGCTTTGTCCTGATTCTGACACTGGTGATTTTACTGCAGTAAAACCTGACCCATGTTCTAAAAGAATTCAATTCATTCATTGGTATCAACATACTAATACAATACCAATATGAAACAACTAAAATTAAGCAATGGAATCTGGACTAAACAGAGAAGAGATGAACATGGTTTCATTTAGTCTATTCATAAAATTTATGTAATTTTTTCTAGCTTCAGTTGTCTGCACATAGAACTTTCTTCCATTTTTTTTCAAAATTTTTTAAAATTTGAAACTGATATTTTGGTTTGAAGAAACAAAATTTTCTGATTTTATGTTTTGCTGATTTCAGTCTCATAATGGGCAATGGTACCTAATTTGCACCAGTTTTAGCAAAGCCATGGAAGCCACCTCAGCCCAATTCTCACCATGTTGTCTATTATATGCACAGATAAGGTGATCAAAGATACTCATCTGTGCTGCCTTCTCTGTATAACACAGCACGTGTGCACCCACAAAAGCTGCAAAGCCTGGCCAGCTGAAGGAGATGAATGGCTATCACTGAGTCACATTACTTTCTTCATGCTGCCAGGTTTGCAAAATACCACGTTTATGTCTGCGTTGGAGGGCACAGCAGCTTCTTGTTCAGACTTGAACTCACTTTTAGTGAAAACACTTTCTCTTCACAATGCAAGATTGAATCCTCTGGTTACTGGCACAGAGCTTTCCCCAATCTGTGCTTCAAACTCAGTGTGAATCCCTTCATTAGCAGAGGACAGATTTTTAATGTGTCCTGTAAACTTATTGAGAACTGGTAACAATAGCCATGATTCTGAAACTGACTAAAAAAAGTAGACAATAAACCAAGGTACATGAAGCTTTCAACCAGGTTACATTAAAAAAAAGTATATAAAGAATTGGAATTTCATATTTATTTCATTTTTTAATATAAAAAGTGTAATGTGATTTTAAAAATTATTTAATTGTTATGTGAGGTTTTAAGCACTGTGTCATTAGTGCTCACCTGGTGGAATGTTTCTTTCTTCCATTTACTGGAAAAAAATGGTTGAATGCTCAAGGCCAATTTTTCAGATATCACATGTAGCAATCTCATCTTCTAATTACATCTTTAGTCCTTAACTACACTTGATTTTTCTTGTGTGAACTGTGTGTAGGCAAATTTGAATTTACAACCACATTTAAATAATGCTTGTGATGAAAATGCCTGGAACCTTACCTACTGTAAGTACATACTATATATCCAATCTAACCTATTGTAAATATATACTCTGTACTATTGTAACTATATTCTATGTAATTGTGTAGCCTAACCTACATGTAACAATCATAACCTGAATTAAGTCATTCTAAGGTGAATCACTAAGTATGTTTTTAAAGTTCCCAAGGCAGATGAAACTGAGTTTCACCCATCTCATGTCCGGTGGTCAGCAAGGGCTCTCACCTGGTGTCACTCCAATCCAGATCTCCCAATAGACACCAGCAGTTCCCTGACACACTCTTCAGGAAAAATACCTTGAGTATCAGTGATTCCACATTCCAATACTGAGGCTTGCTGAAAGCAGAAAGATGTGCTGATCAAGGATAGTTTGGTACATCTCACTATGGCAAACAGATGGGGTGCAGGAAAAGGGCAGGCATTGATGAAGAGGGAGGGACAGAGGGAGGGAAAGGAACTGAGACTTTATAGAACTCAGTCTGCAGACAAAACTGGTGGAACAAGAAGCAAGGTTACTTTTTCCCAGCTCCAGTACCTCCTTTTTTTATAGAGACAGCTATAAATCACCAGATAAATTAGCTCAGAAATGCTAACAATAACTCAAGGTTTTATAGTCCTGATAATTTTTTTGTTAATTGTTGAGTTTTTCAGGCTGCGAAAAGCTTCCAAACAATTCCCTCCTGGACCAACTCCCCTCCCGCTGCTTGGAAACTTGGTGCACTTGAACTTTCAGTTTCATCGGGATCTTCTGATGGAGGTACTTCTTTTAATATGCTCTTAATTGGTTATTTTTAACCATGACTTAAAAAAGTGTGATTAATTGAAGTTTTTAAGTCTGTGAAATTTACAGACAAGGTGTGGACATATAAAGATCAATTGATTCCTACATTTGAGTCATCTTCTTATGTGGAATATGTTGTCTTCATGAGAAACTTAATGCCCTTAAGAATCAAGTCAGTTTGGGGAGAGAGTTTATGACTTGTTATTAAGTTAGAGAACAGCAGTAATCTAAAAGATGCTTCTGCATTGCTAAGTGTGAATCTGTATCCACTACAGTGATAGCTACATCTGCTATTCCTACATGATACCTTTTAAAATTCTCACTGGTATTGCCTAATTTGATCACAAAGTGGGTAATATGGTGCATCTATGCTTGTAGTACAGGAAGGGCATTTGCTCCCCATCTTCCTACAGCTCCTGAAAACAGTTTGCCACTTGTTGTTAGTGACAGCTGTGGTAATTCCTCTAATGGTTTGTAGTGACCTCTAGTTCAGGTGGATGCCTGAGAGCACACAGGGGCCAGTGAGTACAGAGCAGACTCAGGTTGTGACTCTCTAGCAGGGAGAGGAAAGCCAGAATCTAAAAAAATATGAGGAGAAGCAAGTATCTGGTGTGATCAATTGGATTTAATTTTCGTGGCACCTCAGACACTGTCTGCCACCTTATTTATATCATTGTGGGTGTGCTGGAGCAAAGTCCATACTTGTAAAAAGCTTTTTCATGCATGATTTGAGTTCCTCTGCCATACACTCATCCCTGCTTGGATACCTCTGCTGTGTGCAATGTAAGTGCTCTCAGTGCTGTGAGGAAACCCTGGACTCAAATGCAGCCCACTGGCACTTCATGGCTGTTGGTTAATTTCCGTGTCCATGCCCTCTCCTGGAGCAGGTATTATCAGCTTATTTCATTTTGCAAAGGCAGGACTCGCTGGAGGCGCAGAGCCCCAGGGTGGTGCAGAGTGTGGCTCTTAAATTAACAAGGGACAAAATGTTTGGGTTGCAGGTGATGCATAAAGCACAAAGTTTTCTTTCTTTTACTGCAGAGCTGCTGCAGAATGTGCTTTGAAAAGACAATAACTTCCCCCTGGGGTAAATAAAATTAGCTGCTGAAAGCCTTATTCTCAGCAAAACAACAGCTTCTTCCTGATTCTATCTACATGGGGATGATGTTTTCAGCACAAAACTGTCCCCTGGGCTGGTGAATAGCAGGTGCAGTGTCTGTTCGAGATCTATATATGGGAATTCATCTGTTCTTTTTCTGGCACCTTTTTTCCACTTACAGCTGGCAAAGACTCATGGTAACATGTACACTCTGTGGTTCGGGTGGGTCCCGGTAGTGATACTGAATGGATTTCAAGCAGTGAAGGATGGGATGACCACACACCCTGAAGATGTTTCTGGGAGGCTTGTGTCACCTTTCTTCAGAGCATTGGCCAAAGGAAAAGGTGAGATTTTCCTGGCATAAATAGTGTAAAGGAATGTTGACTTGAAAATTATTCTGCCTTTTTAGACTCTGCCCTCCCATTCAGAATACTGTTCAAGTCCTCCACTGACTTTTGAGAATTTCTTGCTGTTTGCCATGCTGTCATTTGCACTGAGCTTTGCCTAGCCTAGGAAACACTCCAGGTTGTTTCTATGTGACCTTTTTGCTGTATTCAAGATTTATGTATATGATCCAACCAAGAGCCCAGCAATCTTTCCCTCATCACAGACTAATCCATTGTGGTACACAGGATTTTGCTGTATATCACATGAATGCAATGTTTGTTTGGTAACTGTATACATTATGGTTGCCAAACACTTTCCATCATGAGCAAGTCTTATAAAACCCTATTTCAGATTTCACATTTCTGTACTTGCGGACACTCCCAAACATTTTGTGAATACACTTTGATTGTGAGAGTACCTCCAACACAGGAAAACCCACTTATTCTTAAGAGTTTTCCAGCAGTTTGCACTCTTTTTTTCCTGCCCCTGCATTTGCTTGACTAAAGCCAACAGATTGTTTAGAGTTGGGTGAAGCCTCACCTTCACAGCAGCAGTTCAGGGCTCTTCAGATGATCAGGAGTGCAATCTAGCAATTAATGGAGTGTTGTCTCTTCCAGGATAGAAACACAGCCCAAATGTCCCTTATCTTTCACCTTCATCACCTCAGCCTACAAACATCACATTAATTGATCTATATCTCCACATACATACCTTGTTCTGAACTCTACTCTGTGGAAATTCATCCAGTTATTCATGTCTTGAGTGTGATTACTTGTGTATGGCTAAAGCAGATCTCCTAAAAAGCCATCTTAAGGTGTTTCAGGGTTTTTAAGACATCAAGAAATGGAGCAGTCAGAAAATCCTTAGATTGCTCTCTTCAATTAACTACATTCAATATTTAGAACAGTGGTCTAGTTATAGTTTGGGTATGTTAGGCTATGATTTTTGGTTATCAGTAACTTCACCTTGAGATACTTGTATCACAGTATATCCCCTGATTTACTCAATGTATTTTATAATATATATTTAAATGAATTGCTCATATCTATGGAAAATATTAACATGCCAGGAAACACCCTCAGGTATTATACTTGCAAGTGGTCGCTCCTGGAAGCAGCAGAGACGTTTTGGAATAATGACTCTGCGCAATTTGGGAATGGGGAAAAAAGGCCTGGAGCATCGAGTGCAAGAGGAGGCCTCTCACCTGGTGGAGTTTTTTGTGAACCTAAAAGGTATCTTACCTGCTAAGAAATCAGGCACCTTTCAGTCTGGATATGGATCCATATCTTCAGTATGCAAACTTACCAATGCACAAGAGCAGATAGAGCCTAGAATCACAATTATTTCTTTCTTATATAACTCTTCATACATCTAGTGAAGCTGGAAACCTCTGAAATTCCACCTCCATGGGCTGATAATTTGTCTGTGATATTTTGTACAATGACATGGTGCTGCTAAACTGCACAGGCAACCCATTCTCAGGCTGCCTGCCACGGGTAACTGAAGACTATTGCAGAGCTTACTAATTTCCTTAAATTTCAATGACATTGGGTGCCCTGCATATTTTAATATATATCTGGCAAAGTAACTATTGGCAAGAGAAACAAAGAAAGTAGGAGGTGGGAGGGAACTTCAGTGGATTATCAGGTTAATCCTAGAGTCCATGACAGGATGATTTCTATCCACATCATTTTTTATGAATATCTGTTTCATAACATCAGAAAAAAATCATCAGGTAGAGATATGATCTACTGCTCACAGCTGAGACTGTAAAAATTCCATTATATTTACTTTGCAGTCCTTGTCTGTCCATTCTTTTTCTTAGACCTTCCCACATTCTTCCAGGTTTTCCTTGTAATTAGTTTTTTACATTTTTTAACATGTCTGTCACTGACTCTCCTTAGTTCATCTCCAGTGGCACTACCTCCTCACAGTCTCTTTTCTGCCTCCTCACAGCTGAGGAGAGCAGATTTGACGTGATAGCCTAGAACAGATCTTAGCTGTACAACACTATTTCACAGGAAGGGCTGTGAAATTGTTTTAGAGCTATGAGAAAACAGTTTAACAGTGTCCTTTGTTCTAAGACTGTTTTATTTTCATTAATTTATATTAGTGCCACATCTCTGTACTCATTCACATCCCAGCTGGACAAATAGAATATTTTATTAAATCTTTAATAACATCTAGTCCTATCTATATAAGGAACACCTGAAAAAAAACACTGAGAGTGAATTCCAATTACTGTGTTTGCAGGAAGACCTGTGGATCCTTCTTTCCCTCTTTTCCATTCTATTTCAAATGTAATTTGTGCTGTGGTTTTTGGATATCACTTCTCTGATGAGGACAAAACCTTCCATGAGCTGATCTGTGCTACAGAGAAAATATTCAGGTTTGCAGGCAGCTTTGTTCATCAGGTGAGTAAATCATATGCTGGTTTTTTTTCTGAAATAGGTAGAAAGTGAAAGAGCAGATACAAAAATGTATCTTCACTAAATACAGAGCAACAGGCAAATATAGGCTGGGAGCTAAGAAGTGTCCTTGGGGAGGGACCTTATGACTGCATCCTTGGTTTTAAGGCCATTTTTAAGAACTCTCTTGGTTTTTTTGCAGGCTTAGGGGCTTTAAGTCTTTTGGTATTTCTAAAACTATTAACAGAGACCTTTAAATTTAATTTGAGACTGGAGTTGGTAATATATTTGAATTCTGCAGTGTTGCTCCTCCCACTTCTATTTACTTCTCCAGTAATGGGTATCATTGAACTCTTCTGCTTTTTATCACTCTGAAAATCATATGCTGAAAATTTTATTTTTTCCCCTACCTCACAAATAATAAAATATTAATTATTAATCTTTTCCTTACTCTGTTATAGCTCACCATTCACACATTGCAAATACATACATTCCCTGACAGTCTCACAATTCAAGTTCTGTCAGAGATTTTATTGTAGCTCCTTCCCACAAAATACCACAAAGACCAACTTTGCACTTGAGACTTTCCTCATGAATTAGACTTTGTGGTTTAGACCCTTAAAGAGGGACAAGTTGTGTGTAATGAGGAATGTGGATGGCATAGCAGATTTAACTGGCATTTGAGTTTTACAGGAAAAGGCAAACTAAAATGCTGATATGGCAGTAAACCATCCAACAAATCTGTCATGTGAAACTAGCACTATACAACTTTTCCGCAGTTGAAAATACAAAAGTAGATTAAATTTGTGGATGATCAAAACCAGGAGACTTTAAGATACAGAGGAAGTTCAGAGTATCTTGCTGCAAGAGTTAGTAAGCACTGTGGATTGGAGAATGGAAAAAATTGTATTGGTACAAAATGAAATTACAAAACATTCTAGGAATTAATAAGACAATAATCAATAAGATTAATTATTCTAAGCTCACTTACTATGAGTTTACAACATGCAAAGGTGAAGAGGAAAGGGATTGGTGAACTAACAGATAACAGAATGAAAAAGGTAAACAGGATCTTAGGGTATTTCTAGCACTATTTTCCTTTTAGATCCAGTGAAGTGTTATAGTAGGTTCTGAAGTGTAATAATCTGTGAGACATATTCTAGGGTCTTGGACAACTTTTGCTGTGATTCTGAAGGGAAACAAAGGTGGAGAATTGGTAATTAAGTAACCTACAAAATTGTCACTTAGAGAGACTCTGCTTGTTAGCTCTTAAAGAACGAGGAGATAGAACTGCTCTTTGCTGGGCAGGGTGGAATGGCAGATGCTGCACAGACAGAGCTATCTAAGACAGAGAACAGTACTTAGAGCTGAAAAATGTGTGTGTAAATACACTCAGCAGGCTGAGGATGTAATATTGTTTACCATAAATAACACCAATTATTACTCCTTAGCAGTCACGAGGACTCTGACTGGGAAAACTAAATTAGCCCTTATCTCAGACTGATACCCAGTCCTTAATTCCTTTCGTGAGCTCCAGAAATTCCTGCCATTACTTGAGGCTGCAGACCTGTTAATCTTAGTAGCCCCATTGTATCCAGAAAGGATGTCCTTACATTTTGAGTGTGTGGGAGCTGGGGTCTCCAACTGTGCAGGAATGAGGTCATATAATGATCTTCATTAGCCAAATAAACTTAGAGGTGTGAGCAGAGTATTGTCAGAATTTCCTTGACCCCTGGAATTGTGTCAAATTACTATTAAAGCTCTCCCACATGATGGCAAAAATCTGCTCAAAGCAATGCTGATTGGTTTATTCCACTATCAACATTTCTGGGCAGGACATTTCATCCTTTTGGTGTATCTAAAAGCAGCTTTGTCAGTGACAGAGAATTCATGGTACCTCTTGTGTGTCACTCCCACAGATGTATGAAATCCTGCCCTGGCTGCTGTGTCGCCTCCCTGGGCCTCATAAGAAGGTGTTGGCTTGCTATGATGTCCTGAGTTCTTTTGCAAGGACGGAGATCAGAAGACATGTAGAGAGAGGGATACCAGCTGAACCACAGGATTTCATTGACTTTTACCTGGCTGAGATTGAGAAAGTAAGTGTTCATTCTGGGTGATGATGCTGTTACGAAGCAGTAACAGCATCATCACCCAGATGGTGATGGTTTTAATGGTCAAACAGACCATTAAATCACTCAGTGTGACCCTTCCACCATAGTTTCTTACATTTCATAAGCTTCTTAACATGAATACAGTATCTTGGGACTTACATGTCTCAGAAAGGCATCCAGTTTTGTATTTTGGTTGCATGAGTGAATTACCATCAAGTATGATAAGGGGTGAACCCACGAGCTCTCACTGCTTTCCATAAATATCCATTAGTATGTCTCAATCCTGTAATAAATATGAGACTGTTTATTCCTGTAGGCTACATAACTTTGGTAGACCACCTCATCTCCTACTGTGAAGCTCGTGTTTACAGTGGGATTAAACACACATGCACAAATCACTGCCCTGAAATAGCAAGCATGCTTCTTTGGGATCCAGCATGTGTACTCCAGCACCGGCTGTCCTTGTGCCACATAACTGTCTGGTTTCTCCCTTGGCAGGCAACCATTATCCCTATGTTACCTCTAATTTCCCCACTGTTTGGGGCATGGCTGGCTTGGCCCCTATATTCAAATTGGACAGCATAGAAAACAATTCCACAAACAATGCCATAATCAGCATTAATATTCTTCATTGCCCAGGCTAGTATTTTCCATAGTAAGATGCGAGTCTGAGATAGAGAGGCTCTGCCAAGTGCACTATGGCTTCTGCTTCAAATTTCAGGAGGTAAAGGAAGCATCTCTTTCCTAGGGTAGATGAAGTTTACATAGTTTCTACCTCTGGCCATAAGCTTTCAGCTAGTCAGGCTGCTGTGTCCTCACGGTGTTGGCTCATGGGCTCAGAAAGGAGCTGATACATCATCTTTTGTGATCAAGTTATCAAGCATAGTATTGCCTTTTTCTGATGAAAGAATAATCCACCTCATGAAAGACAGCAATGCAGACTTACTGTGCCTATTTGGGAAACTACTAAACTCTTAGTATGCATCAAAAACTGTAATTTTGACTATTCTTTGTGCACATGCCAGCTGTGGAAGTCCCACAGCTCTCACACAGAGGGCATACAGGATAACCAAATTTTTATGCTTTAACTTCAACTTTTTATCACCATCTACAGTCTAAAGAGGGGGCCAAGCCCAAGTATGATGAAGAGAATTTGGTATATGTCATAAATGATCTTTTCCTTGGTGGATCAGAGACCTCAAGCACTACATTATACTGGGGACTGCTCTATATGGTGGTGAATCCAGGCATCCAAGGTGAGAATGGTGGGATTTTCCTGTTTATTTTTACTATCCTGTACTAAACTCAGGCACTAAATAATATTAAATCACAAGATACAAACCTAATGTACTATGTTGAAATAATAAATTTTTCTATTGCTCCAAGAAAAGTGACCAGCTAAAGTATTTTATGCATTTTTCTCCTCTGAAGTGGTGAATATTTCTCCACAGCAAAAGTGCAGAAGGAGCTGGATGCTGTTCTGGATCCTTCCCAGTTAATTTGTTACGAGGATCGGAGAAAACTGCCCTACACAAATGCTGTGGTTCACGAGATTCAGCGCTACAGCAACATTGTCTTTGTTGGCGTCCCCAGATTGTGTGTGAGGAACACAACACTACTGGGATTCCCTGTCAAAAAGGTACAGGCACATTTTCATCTTCTTTCTTTGGAAGAGAGTCATTCCAGTTTTGTAACCAATTTTCCCTCAATAAACTACTTTCTGTTAAACTCAGGAATGTGGTGCCTGAGGAAGAGTTACTATTGGTGGCTCCAGGAATGAAAGAAATCTTTTGCCTAGCATGTAGGTGCTCCTATAGCTGATAAGACTTATGCCAGGGAAGCCTCAAGTGCCTGCCCATCGTCACAACTGCAGAGACCAGCTCTGCATGGCAAGGGATGGACTGAGAGGAGAAACCTGTTTGCCAAAGCACTGGTTAAGACATCCCTGCCCAGCTTGGCACTCACTCAAATGCCAACAAGCAACAGTTTTATCCATCAGGCATGAATTGATGGGTGACAGGCACTTGTATTTGGAACTGAAACAACAGTTTCTTCTTTGCAGGGCACCATTGTTATACCAAATATAGCATCTGTTCTGTACGACCCTGAGCAGTGGGAGACACCTCGACAGTTCAACCCTGGCCATTTTCTGGATAAAGAAGGAAACTTTATACCTCGAGAAGCTTTCTTACCATTCTCAGCAGGTAAATGCACTGACAGTCTGAACTGACCCGACAGATGAGATGATGAATACAGAAGCATGAGATTATGGTATTTCTTCAGATAACATCTTCTATATCTGCAGTTTGCTGCTTTTAAAGAACATTCCTGGCTTGTTTCTACCAAAGGAGAGGCTTCTGTCCTGTCAGACCCCAAACTGTTCATAGGACACTGTGGTGGGAATCCTCAAACTCCCAAACTTCTTGGGCTGGCTGCATGCTGCAGTCATACACAGGTTTTGTCTGTAGTATTTTTTACACATAGCTATTTTTCTGAGAAGTAATTTGTCTGATGTGTACTGGACTTAACTGCAATCCCTTTTAAAGAAACAAGCTGAAAGAAAAGCAGAAGACATCTTGATAAATACAGGTTTACAGTCTTGCTTACAGTACTGAAAATCCAGTTGCAAAAGAAGGAAACAAGGTAACAATGCACAGTTAGTAATCATACCTAGCAGTAAAGTATCTGCTAGTGGTTTTGTTTTAGTTTGTTGATAGTCACTCAAATGACCATACAGAAGTCGTTCCTTAGTTCAAATGGCTTGTTCTTTCCTTGTATTTGACTGCTTTCTGGAAAATTAAACGTAATATTCACCTTCTGCTCACACTATTGCCAAGGAATTGGAATCCTGGGAAATGAATAGTAGGCATCATGCTTTGCTAATAAAGTGACCAAACTTCTGTTCAACTGCAAATGCCACTACTAAGTAATTTTGCTCTGTTGATGTTAACTCACTAAAGCATTTGCAAACAGCTGGCAGATTTTTTTGCGTGTGGTCCTGAAGTTCAAAATCTTCTGTAAAAGCAAAACAGTTTTTTTCTGTCAGGTCAAGAAAGAAATTATGTTGCCACCTCATGGATTCTCATTGATGTTTTGAGTCTCCTAACCTAAGACATTCGATGGAATCTTTTTGAGAGGGAATTCACAGTTTCAGTTCTGTGGCTTTCATGGTGCTCTCCTTAAACAAAACAAAACCCATGTCTGCTTTCAACAGGAATGAACGAGGTGATTATGAAACTGAAAAATTCCTAGATAATTCACTATCCTTTCCTCTCTGCTCTGCAGGGCACCGGGTGTGTTTGGGGGAGCACTTAGCAAGGACCGAGCTCTTCATTTTCTTTGCCAGCCTGTTGCGGGCGTTCACCTTCCGGCTCCCTGAGGGAGTGACAGAGATCAACACTGAGCCCATTTTTGGGGGCACTCTGCAGCCTCACCCCTACAGGGTTTGTGCCATTCCACGCTAGGCTGCAGCAGCCACAGGCCAGCATGAGACAGCCACCTTTACCTCCATGAATTTCCTCTCAAGTGTATAAACCTCCTGGCTACTGATATTAGTCTATCCCAGCATTATTCAGAAAGCGGATTCAAGCCAAGATCCAGACTAACAGTATTTTTTGGTCTGGTCTTTGCAAAAGTCACAGATATTCTCACAGGGATCTTGGCCGTATTCACTTCTCTGAGAACACTTGAAGCCAGATGCTGTGGCTCCCAGCCGAAGCCATGCTGTGTCTCCTTGTCCTGGTCAAGCAAAATCATCCTCATTCTCAGACCTGAGCAAACCTCAGGAAAATTCAACAGACTATCTCAGCAAGAGCTGAGAAGGTGTTATTTCTGTGAGTGGCCTGATGACCTCAAGTGATTTGACTGCGGAAAGCACACTATTAAAGCTTTGTTTTGGTTTTATTTTCCTGAACTTAGCCACTTATTTTGTCAACAGGTTACAAAAAAAACCCAAACAAAAATAAAACTGTCATCTAAATTCCAGGAAATACATTAGAATGCAGGTGCCTTCATATCTGAATTTGACGTTGTCTCCCATATACTAGGTAAAAAGTTATTCTGAAGTTGAAGAAAGAAACTTAAATTTAGTATTTACAATCAATGTGAAAGTGTGACTTTGCAGGCTGATTATAGTTATATTATATTGTCAAATTGTTAGTTAGTTTTTTATTGTTTATTTTATTTTTAATTATGTGGATTCCCACCCATTATCAATCCTTCTTGGATAAGGCATTGAATGTGAGATGAGAGAGTCACTTTGCCTGTGAATTTCACTGCTAACTCCATGATAGAGGAATGTAGAGGCTTTGGAAGGCAGCCTCTAGGGGCTACCTGAACCCTTCAGATAGTCTCCATTTCCTCTGTGTCCTTTACTTTTTTCATTACAACCCACACCACACTTCCTGGTCTCCATTCGACTTTCTCTTGCCCTCTTTCAGTTCCTGCTCCCACCCCTATCTTTTATCCATATAAACTCTATTTCAGGATTCACCTTGATGTGAGCTTCTCTCTGCTTTTTTTCTGCACAAGTATTAGTAGAGGAATCCATGCTGAGCTGAAACACCAGTGTGTTTTCAGAAGGGAACTTGGAAAATCTCATTTATTTGTTCTTTAAGGGTCCAGATTATGGAAAGAAGTGCACAGTAAACTGTGGAGGGGACACTAGAGGTGATTTAGTGTAAGAAATAAATGATGATGTGATGCAGGAATTCTAAAATATCTGTTATTTAAGGTAGCTGCTCCTTGGCACTGATTCAACTCAAGAATAGAGGGTTTGAGCACACAGCTGGAGGTGACAGCCAAGTTCATCTGTAACTTTGTTAAAGTGAAGTGCTGGAGAGTTCTTGTATGCGAATCGCTTTTGGAAAGGATTCAAATGATGGAGTTGAGTAGAGCTGCCTGTAAACACTACTGTAAACTTAGCATCAGTTAGTATTGAGTTATTACTTAGTTATTGAGTTATTACGTAGTTTGTATTGAGGACCAAAAGTGCTTTTATGTTGTAAGATGAAGTATTTATAATTAAATCACTGTGGTACATCTGAACTTTCTGAATTTAAAATGGAGGAGAATGTTACTACAGAGAAGGAGGAACTGACCAGATCCTGGCATGCCTTGTAGCTCTGGCAGTGGTCTGTGCCAGCACAACCCAGCACTGGCAGGCTTGCAGGGCTAGAAGGGAAATGAGGGCAGTGAGAACTTTCACAAAGCAACAGCTGTTATAAATAATCCAGCCTGTTGCTCCATGCAACAGACCAAAGAATGTTCCAGGGCCTACACACTCCTGCTCAGCCTCCTTTCCAGCTTTATCTGTGCTTCTCCTCCACCCTATCAGCACACATCTGCTCCTATCCAATAAACCTGTGTCTTGATTTAAAAGACAGGTGTCTACCAAGAAAGGCAGGAACCTTCCTAGAATGGAAAAAATGACTCCTCTCTACATTATTATAACTTTGAAATTATGAGGCTTTCAGGCAAAGATATGTGGAAAGGATTAACAGTTCTTGACTAGAATGTCTATATACCAAGACAAACAAACAACAACAATAGCAGCAACACCGAATAGGACCACAAGCCCAGTCCCAGCCTCTCATGGCAGCAGGTGCCCTCCCCTCGGTGCAGCTCCGCTCCCGGCCGGCAGGGGCGCTGCTGGCTCCTGGCCAGGCAGGGAAGATTCCCCCGCGCCCACAGGGTTGTGGCTGTGGCGTGAGCGCGGCCTCCTCTGCATGTGGTGATGGTGGCAGGAGAGAGGAGAGGGCTGCCCTTGCAAACCTCACAGCGAGACGCCGGCCTCTGGGCCACCCCGGATGGGGAAATAGGCTCTAGCAGCAGAGATGAGCAGACATGGGGTGGCAAAGTGTAGCCAAAAGCCCTGGGGCGGTGGCAGGAGCAGCAGGGCTGCAGGCACAGGCTGGGAGTCAAGCTTAGTGTATCAATAACCCCCGCAGCAGTGGCCAAAAACAGCCAGGACCAGTCGGACCTGGGAAGAGAGAGAAGGTGGAGGGAGGTAGGTGTTTCAGGTTTTCCCCTGGCTCTCACGTGTCCCTTGTGATGTCCTGGGAATGGCAGCAGCACGTGGGAGGTGCTCCCTCTGGAGAGTTTTCAGGGCACCTCCTGGCATCTAGATCCTCCTTTACTGTGTTCAGTGCTATGGCCAGCTTTGTGTTGGCTATTTTGTAACATTCTGTACATGTGTGGAAAATTAATTTCAATTAAACTCAGTAAAACTCACAGCTTTGGCTGGAAACTCGCTGAACGAGGTAAGGCATATTTGCAGGGATGGTACAAAGAGATCTAGCATTAGGCTTGACTTGATTTACCATCCTCACTGGTGATTAAGAAGAGTAGAAGAGTAGAAATGTGACATTTTAAAATTATTCTAAACTCCTTGCAGAACTCTTAGATGAAAAAAGGGGGTTTATAGGTCTGACTGAACATAAAAACGAAGACACAATGTAGAAAATAATTCATAGAATAATGCATAGACAAATGTAGGTACAATAAAACTCAGACAAAATAGTCCTAAATTATCTGGGTCATTTTCCACTATGCTCTGAAGAACCTCTATAAATCTGTATGAATGATCTTTTAAGGTGATTTCACAGAGCTCATATTAGCTGGAGCAAATCAATGGCTTTATATGCACGTGGGAACATACAGAAATGAATAAAAAATGATGGGTTTCACTATAGATTTCCCCTTGTTTCAGAGACATCCACAGGAAATAAAGCAATCAGATTTTAAAAACACAGCAGCTCTGAACCCTATCTTTTAGATTGAACCAAAAGGTTTTAAAATTTCTTCTCCTTCCTCCATGTACTCTGGGGAATAATTCAGATTAAATTTCCATTCAAAATAGCTTTTATAATTTCCCCCTGGGGGAAGGAGGGAAGTCTCAGTAGGAGCTGAGAGACTACAGTGCGCTAGGTGAGAAATAGCTGGTGGGAAAGTGTCATATATTAAACAAATTTCATCTCAGCAGCCCCTGCCCTGCTGAAGATTCCAGAAAAGAAAAATTGCAAGGAATGAAGTAAAATGGTGGGAAGGAGAAAAACCTCTTTCCTACTGGTGGAGAAAAAGGAGTTCAGCTTTTGTCCTGATAAGCATAGAGGACAGATAGGGAGCAGCGAGGAGTCAAGGGAGCATTCAGCAGCTCCTACTTTAATTTTCTCAGCAACAGTGTAACATCTGTGCTGAGAAAAGAAGACCAGACCCGCCCCCC